TCCAAGGTTCCATTCCTATCGGTAACATTAGTCTTCTTTGTCTTTTCCCTCTTTCTTCTAGTGGTAGAAGATTTGGTTGGTCTTTGTTGTTGTGGGTAGTCTTAGTTCCCTTTCCTTATGCTAATATTATTTTGATCTAGCCCTTTATTTATAATAATTCTAAAGTAATTAGTCTAAACAAGCGATTCTACTACGAGGGTGGTTACAAGGGGTTTGTTAGTTATCCTAAACAGAATTCATCTCCCTGGATTTTTTCTGGTGGATTTGCGTGATCTTCGTCTCCTGGGATCGTATTTTCTTCGTCGGGGTTGCCCTCGTCCTCGAGTTCGGCTTGCGTGCGACTCATGAGGAATACTTTTCCGGAGGCACCGTAATTTCCTTGATTGTTCGTGCTCCCGCGTTGGCCCATGGCTATGGGGCGTGAGCTTGAGGGTTGAGTGCAATGGAAGGTCTTGTGCCCTTCTTTCCTGCAGTTGAAACATCGTAAGGGGTTCCCCATGCAGTCCTTGCCCCCATGGCTTTAGTGGCATTTTGGGCAAGGGAAGCCCCCTGTATTGGTTTCGTTGTTTCTTGGGGGTGGCCTTTGTCCAGCTGGGTTACTTGGCCTGGTGTTGGTGTCGATTCTTGTTCTTTTTATAGGTGGTGCCCCACCCCCGGTGTTTCTTTTTCGAATCTGTTCCTGAACCCCACACTGTAGTAGCTGGATTCGATAGAGATTGGCGGCACTGGAGTAGGCCTCGTTGAGGGTCCAGGGTCCGCTCACTACTAGAGCTTTTCGGGCTTCAAAGTTGAGGCCTGATATAAATCTCTCTATTTTGGTTGTCTATATGGGGACTAGTTCTAGCGCGAAGCGTGCCAGTTTGAGGAATCGTTTATGGTATTCCATGACGGTAGCCGCTCCTTGTTTTAGGTGAAGGAATTATTCGTGCATAGATGCTCTTATGTGGGCTGGGTAAAATCGTTCTCTCAGTCGTGTTTTCAGGCTTTCCTAGTTGAATCCTGGTTCATGTCTGTAAGTGGGTCCCTCGTGGATCCACCAGAGGTCTGCCTCGTGTCCGAAGTAGAATGAGGCTACCTCTACGCGACATTCTTATGGGCATTCTACTAACCCCAGGATTTTGTCGAAGGTTCGAATCCATTCCTCAAGGATAGCGGGATCTTCCTCACCCGAGAAAGTGGGTGGCTTATGGTTCGAAACTTGTGGGGCGACTTCTGAGTTTGTGTTTGGTGGTGGTCGGTTGTTGCGAAGAGCTACGTCGCTTAGTGTTTGGGCGACTTGGGTTAGTTGTTGTAGGGTTTGAGCCAGGGGGTCTTGTGTAGCGGGTTTCGGGGTCCTTGATTGTCTTCTGGTTGGTGCCATGATGCTGATCTATAAAGCCAATGTTTATAGCAACGTTTGAGTTAGAGTGTTGTACCCTTACCTTGGTATGATAAGCGAAGGGGGGTTCTTTTAAATTAATGAGGGATGAGGGGGAGGTTATGGGATTTCTTGGAACTTTTTGTGTGGTGAGAGATTACTGTGGTGTGAGTTCTAGGTGCCTCCTATGTCCCTATTTATATAATTAAGAGTCCTAATTAGGGTCTAAGTGGCATGAGTTTGCTAATTCTATTTCTTATAGGACTAAGGGATTGGCTTTAAGGATAAAGGCCCATGGACCATGGTGGACCCCTTTTTAGCAATTTGATGGATTTTAATTCCCTTTTTAGGGTGGGTGATAAATTAATTAATTTGGTTTTAGGGGCCGTAACACGGGGTGTTACACTCTCCCCCCTTACAAGAGGCTTCGTCCCCGAAGCCGGTGCGTGGATCCATTCTTTCACCCCTAGATGTCACGTATTTTTGCCTCCTGATTAGGAAATGTGGCCCCACGTGTTATCTTTGCTGGGGTAGACTGGATTTTTGGTGAGGTGGTGGTTTGGGAAGTTCGGGTCTACCTTGGTTCTCTGCTCCTGAGCTGGATGCCCCGCGAGTGCCCAACACGGCCTCGATAGTTGCCACCCTTTGGTCCAAAGCGCGTGTCGCGCGGATTAGGGATGAGAACCCTTCATCCATGATTTGGTTCTGCCGGGTGAGTTTTGCGAGGATTTGTTCGTTGATGGACCCTTCATTTTGGTCCCTTCGGTTTCCCCTTGCCTGATTGGCCATCGGTGGGTTAGGCTCGCCCTCGTCTTCTTGCTCCTCATTTCCCTCCATTCCCCCACATTCTTGCATTGCCCGTTTGAGTTCCTTGTTGGAGATATCCAGTTGGTCAACCAATTCTCTTTGTTCTTCCTCGGGCTTAAGGCAAACCTCTTCGAGAGTGATGTATTGTCCCCCTTCGGTGTAGTAGATGTCATTGCGACGGAGGTGACCCATGGACCATGGTGGACCTCTTTTTAGCAATTTGATGGATTTTAATTCCCTTTTTAGGGTGGGTGATAAATTAATTAATTTGGTTTTAGGGGTCGTAACACGGGGTGTTACAGCAGATTTGTGCCGAGTTCAGCAGTTGCAAAGGGGGTCCTTGGACTCGATAAGGAGAAGAAGCGAAAGCAACGCCGGTGCAGTGTTAAAAAAACCAAGGGTGACGGATGTTCCTAACACTTCTAGTGTTGTTGAGCATTGGGTTAGGAGTTGTGTTTCCACTCAGGTTATTCCCAGCAAGGTTGCAGCGCCACCACCTCGAAAGTAAAGACCGGTTGGGAATATGGTAGTTCGGGACTCGAAGGGGGAACCATCTCAAGGAAAGATCCTCGCAATGAGTGAAGCTCGGGTTGGGGACAGCGATGTCGTGACCGGAACCTTCTTGGTGTAGTCAATACCGGCATTGGTTCTATTCGACTCGGGGGCATCCAATTCATTTGTATCTTCGGAGTTAGTCAAGAAGCAGGGTTTGACCGATTGTGTAGAGGTGAAGTTGAGTGTGAAAGTAGCATCGGGGGAAGTTAAGCCGTGCAACTGGCTGTTCGAGAATGTGAAGATTGCCGTCAATGGGGAGGAATTACCTAGCAACTTGATTCAGTTTGGCTTGGACGGAGTGGACGTGATCCTAGGAATGGATTGGTTGGGACAACACAAGGCACAAATCCTTTGCGGGAAACAGAAGGTCGTGCTAAGAGGGCCGAGTGGGAAGAGAGTATCATACCGAGGCACCGTTGTGGAATGCGAAGCCAAGTTGGTGTCCATGCTTGGGATGAAGAAGTATGTGGAGAAGGGTCATGAAGTTTTCCTTTGCACCGTTGAAAACCTGGAAGTCAAGGAGAGCAAGTCGCAGTCTATACCGGTGGTGTGTGAATTTCTAGATGTCTTTCCCGAGGAAATTCTGGGTATGCCTCCGCCAAGAGAAGTACAGTTTCAGTAGATCTTGTGCCTGGGACAACACCTATCTCGAAGACCCCTTACCGATTGGCGCCCAAGGAAATGCAGGAACTGAAAGTGCAACTACAGGATCTATTGGATAAAGGTTACATTCAGCCGAGTACGTCGCCATGGGGAGCGCTGGTGCTCTTTGTTAAAGAGAAAGACGGGAGTACGAGGTTATGTATAGACTACCGGGAGTTGAATCGGGTAACTATCAAGAATAAGTATCCGCTTTCGAGAATCGACGACCTTTTTGACCAACTCAAGGGTGCGGGCGTGTTCTCTAAAATTGATCTAAGGTCGGGTTATCACCAGTTGAAGGTAGCTGATAAAGATGTACCTAAGACAGCCTTCAGGACTCGTTACGGGCACTATGAGTTCACCATCATGCCTTTTGGCCTGACCATTGCCCCGGGCAATATTTATGGACTTAATGAACCAGGTATTCAAGCCTCATTTGGATGATTTCGTGATCGTGTTTATTGATGATATCCTAGTCTATTCCCGAAGCAAAGAGGAACACGAAAGACATCTTCGGATTGTGCTAAGACCTTGAGGGAGAAACAGCTCTATGCCAAGCTCTCCAAGTGTGAGTTTTGGAAGGATAGTGTAACCTTCTTGGGGCATGTGATAAACAAAGATGGCATCTCTGTAAATCCAGATAAGATCCGAGCAGTAAAGGATTGGACAGTACCGACTTCAATCGCGGAAGTAAGGATCAGAGCTTCCTAGGTTTGGCGGGGTACTATCGGAGGTTCGTTTTGGACTTTGCCAAAGTGGCCCAACCCTTAACCAAGCTTTTAAAGAAGGATGTTCACTTTCAGTGGGACCAGGATTGTGATTCAGCGTTTCGGGAGTTGAAGGATAAGTTGACTACTGCACCGGTACTAACTCTACCGTCGGGTTCAGAAGGGTTTGAAGTGTATAGCGATGCATCAAAGAAAGGTTTGGGGTGCATTCTAATGCAAAATGGAAGAGTGATCGCGTATGTCTCAAGACAGCTTAAAGAACATGAAGAGCACTACCCCACACATGACTTGGAATTGGCAGCGGTAGTCTTTGCTCTAAAAATCTGGAGGCACTACTTGTATGGAGTATAGTGCAAAATCTTCACAGATCATAAGAGTTTGAAATATATCTTTACTCAGAAAGACTTGAACATGCGCCAAAGGCGTTGGCTAGAGCTCATTAAGGATTATGATTTGGACATTCAGTACCACGAAGGAAAAACAAATGTGGTAGCCGACGCTCTAAGTAGAAAGTCTAAGCACTCCATCAATTCCACCTGGGTTGTGGCCGACGAACTATGTAAGGAATTCCAAAAGATGAACTTGGAGGTTGTGAAACAGGGCGAAGTAGAAACTGAGGTCCGTATGTTCAACTTGAGGATTATACCCACCTTGATAGAAGAGCTAGAAGACGAACAGTTGAAGGATGCCGACTTAGTGAAGGTTAGGAGCGGGTTGGTTGAAGGAAAGCATGGACCCTTTGAGTCATTTGACGATGGAGGCCTAAGATACAAAGGTTGGTGGTGCGTGCCCGTATCTTGTGATCGTTTGAAGTGACAGATTCTTGAGGAAGGACACAACACCCCATATTCGGTGCACCCTGGGGTAACAAGTTGTACAAGGATGTGAAAAAGCTTTACTAATGGCCTAACATGAAGAAAGAAATAGCCGATTTCGTGAGTAGGTGCTTGAACTGTCAGAAAGTCAAGGCCGAGCGATGCAAGTCCAAAGGATTGGTGCAACCTTTGGAGATACCTCAAGGGAAGTGGGACTCCATTTCTATGGATTTCGTGGGTGGATTACCCATGACCCACTCAGGCAAGGACAAGATTTGGGTGATAGTGGATCGTTTAACTAAGACGGCTCGGCTAATCGCTATGAAAGAAACGTGGTCAATGACACAATTAACCAAGGCGTACGTGAGTCAGGTGGTGAAATACCATGGAGTTCCTCGGGATATCGTTTCAGACAGAGATTCAAGGTTCTTGTCCCAATTCTGGAGATCTTTGCAAGCTGCTTTGAGAACGAAGTTGAATTAAAGCACCACTTTCCACACCGCCACGGATGGGAAAACCGAGAGGACCATCCAAACTCTTGAAGACATGTTAAAGGCTTGCATGTTGGACTTCCAAGGCTCGTGGTAAGAGCACTTGGACCTGATTGAGTTCTCTTACAATAACAGTTACCACTCAAGCATTCAAATGGAACCGAAGCCCGTTATGGACAGAAATGCCGAAGCCCGTTATGTTGGGAGAATTTGGTTAATCCGGTGATGTTGGGGCCTCAATATTTGCATGATACCGCAGAGAAGATCAAGTATATCCAAGGTAGAATGAAGATGGCTCAAGATAGACAAAAGTCCTACGCGGACTTAGGAAGAAAACCAGCAGAATTCCTAGTTGGGGAAAAGGTTTGGCTGAAAGTTTCTCCCACCCGGGGAGTGATGAGGTTCGGGAAGAAGGGCAAGCTGAGCCCTAGGTTTATCGGACCTTATGAAATCCTTGAAAGGATAGGAAATCTGGCTTACCGTTTGGCGCTACCGATGGAGTTGGAGCGGGTGCATAACGTGTTTCATGTGTCACAGTTAAAGAAGTATGTGTACGACCCTTCGCATGTGATTCCGCCGGAAGTGGTGCCCCTTGACGGGACCATGTCTTATGAAGAAAGGCCGATTCGGATCTTGGACTCTAAAACAAGATAAACCTGTAGGAAGTCGGTGAAGATGGTAAAAGTATAGTGGTCTCATCATGGAGTGGAAGAAGCAACATGGGAGTCGGAGTGCGCCATGCGTGAGCGTTACCCCGATCTGTTTACCTCAGGTACCGCGAGTTACCCCCCTCCCCCCTTGTGTTTTAGCCGTGTAGATTTAGTGTTGGGAGAATGGTAGCTAGATTTTCAGTTAGATGTTGTGTTTGCTTGGTTAGAGCTTGTTGCCTAAAGCCTTGTTTATCTTTTCCTTCTATTCTTGTCACATTTTGGTCACTTTATCCTTTTTGACGATCTTTGTTGTACCCAAGCTTCGGGGACGAAGCTTATTGTTAGGAGGAGAGGATGTGACACCCCGAAAATCCCATCCTTTAAATAGGATTAATGAAGTAATTAATCCTAAGTTACCCTTGTTAATTCCCTAATCAATTTCCTAAATTGATAGTCGAAGGACCAAAGTTGACCAACTCCTTGGTCAATTGATTTAAGTCAAAGAGTTGTACCTTTAGCCTTGTTGGTTGTACCTAATTCCATGTAGTCTTCCTAAACCTTCCTAGGGAAAGTAAGGGTAAGATGGTCTTTTCTCCTTACTTGGTCTTGAAGCCTTACCCTACCCAAACCTAAAATTCATTCCTCACTTTAGCAAAACAACTTTTCTCTCCCTTCTCTCTAAGAAACTTGGCTTCTCCCCCAAGCCAAGAAAGACACCACCCAATCTTGCAAAGATTCATCCCAAGATCCCACCTTTCTATCTTCCAAGCTTAGGAAAGGGTAAGATCTAAAGTTATTTAGTGTTTTTGGTTAGCTTTAATGTGTCTTTATCTAAGTTTGGTGTTTTCTTGTGGTTTGGCTTGTGTAAGAAGGTTGTGAGGAAGAAGAGCTTCCAATTAGGGCTTAGGAGGGTTGAATGGAAGAAGGTTTTGGTCTACAAAGGTAACACATGCTCTACAAAACCTATTTTATACTTGCTATTGATGATTCTTGACTTCTATTGATGATTCTTGATGATTGTGAGTGATTTGATGCATGATCTTGTGATAATGCATGTTTAGAGCTTGTATCTAGGCTTCTTGAATGTTGTTCTTTGATATATTCTTGGGTTCAAGTCATTTCCTTGTTGTATGTGAGAGTTGGGGTGTTTTGGACTTGAACTTGACCTTGGAGATGAAATTTCCCGAAGGGAATTATTTGTGTTCAAGTGTGTTCCCCGCGAGCGGAACGGCGGGTACCTGTCCACCCGCCGCCCCACCCGCAGGTGGGATGTTGTACCTGGCAGGGGCACCACCGGGTAGGTGACTACCCGTGGTTCCACCCGCGGGGTACAATCCCGGTGATTTGTTGAGTGTTGTTTTCCTGTGGCTCCATTTTTTGGTATGTGATGTTTTGACCTCCTTTTGTTGGATTGTTGAGCTTTTGAGTGTCTTCTTGATGCTTCGTATGTCTAGAACAATGTCCTAAGTATCTATGTTAGGATTTGGTGTCTTGAATCGTGCTTATGCTCCAACTTTGTGATTCGTTGGATTTATGTGAGTCTTTGAGGTTTGTTGGAACCAATTTAGTTTACCCGTTTGATGAGCAGTCTAGATATGTTGTCTTTGATGCTAGTATGCGTTGTTTGTCCATTCGTTTGAGGATTGACAACTTGTGTTGCCAATCGTGTTGATATTGGATGGAAGTCCATTGTTGTTGTTGAGTATTATTTCATGTCTTCCATTGAAACCTCTTGATTGGTGTCTATGATGTGATCTTGTACATTTGATTGTACCTTTTGTTGATGCTAGATTGGGCTATTGATGAGCCCCAATCCTCTTGATGATGACTATGTGTAACTATGAATGAAATTGGTGGTAATACTGTTTGAGCTTTGCTCACGAGATCGGTGGTAATATTGTGTTGTGTAATGGTATCCTCGTGTACTGAGAGATCGGTGGTAATACTATGAGATTGGTGGTAAAGATTGGTGGGGGACAACGGTCCCAGGCGGAATAAGGTTGGACTCAGAAGTACAGGGTGGCACTAGGAGGTAACGGTTGGAACTGAAATAAGGTCGGGGGTAGCCATAAGGTTGGGACAAGGTATAAGGTTGGAACGTGAAACTTGTCATTATGTGATTGTTGTGTTATTGCTTATGAGCATGTCTGTTGAGAACTCTACCATTAAGATGGTAAGTTGTGGTCCTTGTTGAGTATGTTGCTTGTGATTCGTGTTGAGTATGTTGATTGTGGTTCTTGTTGTCTTGTGTATTGTGGTCGTTGGTCTTTGTTGAGAGTGTGGATTGTGTTTCTTGACGTTTCCTTCTTTCGGCTTTGAAATGATATATAATGTATTCCCATGTCTCAAACGGTTTTGAATATATATATATATATATATATATATATTATGTTACTTAACGCGTATTGGTGGGTTACCTGCATTATTCGTTGATCGGGTGTTATCCCTTGTCTTTACAGGCTTTGTTAGATTGAAGAGTGCGCTAGATGTGAACCGTAGTTAGTGTAGCTCTTGTTTTGCCTTAGTATTCTTTTTGGCCTGTGAGCCGTAGACTTTTGACAATGGTTTTAGTTGTAGCTAGCGTGTGCACCTATCTTTTGGTATAGGTGTGGCATAGCACTACCCGAATTATGTTTAGCTTCTGCTTTATTTTATGACTAGTTTTTTTTACGCGCATTGCGCGATTGGGATAATGTCCAATGCGTTTTTTAAAATAAGTACTTTAAAATATATTAAGGCAAGATTATATTGAAATTGTTCATGCATAGATAATTGAAGGTTGAATTTGCATATTTAAATAGGTAATTCTTCTCCCAAAGGTTAAGTCCTCAACCCCAAGGGCCCCCCCACACTCCGACCCGACAGAGCATTGTGGGAAGTTGTAAATCCCGGTGACTCAATGGTTCAGCAGATAGGGCCAAATGCTGGTACGCACAAGGAATCTGCCCACTTTGGACATAATTCACGCATTGCCGCCGCCGAGGTTCAAACCTTGGTCTCTTCTGCCAAATACTACCCACTAAACCATTGAGCTAAGCCCGTGCAGGTTAAATAGGTAATTCTAAGTTTACAAATGCAAGATAATATAGTCAATATTGATTATAATTGTCAATAAAATAATTGTATAGGTATGGTTGAAACCAAATACGGGACATAAGGGAGAACAAATAAAAATTAGGGCATAAAATATGAAATATATACTAATATTGTTTGAGGAGATTCTGACATTAGGATTTGTGGTTAAGTTCTATTAAGACTTTAATATTAGAATTAGATTAATGGTGTAGTTATAATTCTATATTAGACTTTAATATTAGAATTAGACTAACGGTGAATTAACGGAAAAGTTAAATGGATAATCATATAATTAAGGATAAATTAGAAAATATTAATAGAAAAAAATTAAAACCTGAACAATATGAACCATTCATTTGATTTAATAATTTGGCGGTCATTTTTTCTACTCAATGTTAATAATTAAATAAATTCGCTGGTCAAATCCGCTTGTATAATCCGCTAACGTTAACCGCTAAGTGCTGATTGTCAAACAAGGACATTGCGAGGTAGTTCTCACTTCAATTTGTTGTGTGATTTGAATACTCTCTTTGTCACAAAATCTCTCAAGTAGTTAATATGGTTGGCTTTATTAATTATATTTTTTTAATTTTTTTCATGGTATTAATAAAATACTTGGTAAATAAATATATAGCATTATTTTATGTTATAACTTTGATATTTAATTAGAAAAATAGTGCACAAAAAAGATAATAGATAATGTAGTGAATATAATCAATTGATGAATTTGAATGTAAAAATTTTTACATTTGAGAAAAATAAAGACAATATAACTAATGAAAATATTTCTTTTAATTAATTTATTGATAATTAATAATTTGTTTTTCACTGAATAAAGACATTGTAAGGACAATGTAGCGAATATAATCAATTAATAAATTTGAATATAAAGAATTTTTATATTGAAGAAAAATAAAGACAATATAACTAATAAAATTATTTATCTTATTTAATTTATTGATAATGAATATTTTTTTTTTTGAATAAAGACATTGTGAACACATAATTCTAAATTAAAGAAATGCATATGTATTATTTTTTGTTGTAACTACTAAATTATTATTTATATAATTTAATAAGAGTAAAATAGAGTACTAATTATGCCAACTTTGATTGGGATGAGGTTCGAACCTAAGACCTTTTTTTTTTTTTTTTTTTTTTTTTTATTGAAATCAATGAGTAAGTTAACGGTGAACTAACGACAATTCTTGAAATTTTAACGGAATTAGTAACGGTGTGTGGGTATTTTAGGAAATTTTAGTGTAAAATTTAAATCTAATCAATCTTTTAATCAATCTGAGCCATTCATTTGATTAAAATCTGTGACCGCCATTTTTTCTACCCATTATAGGCCTAACTCTCTTGGGCTCTTATTAGTATAGTAGATTAATGATTAGACTGTTTATCTCTTATTTACGTTTTAAATATTGGTAAATTCAGGGGTGTTACACATTTAACATTCTGTTTATATATATATATATATATATATATATATATATATATATATATATATATATATATATATATATATTAACAGAATTTAACAGGAAAATAATAGTATAAGTGGTAATAAGAATATCTAAAAGTAATCAACTGTCAGTAATAATAATAAAAATATTAACGTAAGAAAGAATTATAACATAGAATAAAACGTAATAATTAATTATTGTAATAACATAATAATTTGCTATTTAAATCGCTAAACCCAAATCGGTAAGCTTCCAACATTTCTGCCTTTGTACTCTCCTATTTACACCGATTTTCAATGACAGCTGAACTTCACAGCGAGATTGTTGGTAGTTAACTTCATCCAAGACTCCGGTGAAAATAGGAGATTACAAAGGCAAAAATATGGTCTTCCATGATTAAGCGATATTTTTTTTTTTTGCATCTTATTCTTTTCATCAGATTTCTATTTTCTTTTTAGTA